ACCTGACAGGTCAGCGCCAGGATGGGCATTCCCTGGCTATGCATGTTGATGGATTGCTTCCTCGCCCCTCTGCCCCTTATCCCCTCCCTGCTGACCCCACCACTCTGAGACTGAGGCCTTTGCTGCTGCGGCTACGCTCGCTCGCGCTGTCTGGGATTCTCGAGATGCTGTAACGCAGCTTGCCAATAGTAATGCGTTTCCCTTGTCTGAGCGTCCGAGTTTCACTACTGTCACGAACGCCAAGGATTCCTAGATGCTGTAATTGACCGCTACTCCGCGCCTGCCTCCGCCTCAGCTGCACGCTTGATCCTCCCCATGCTCTTCCCTGACCTCTCTGCTTTCCCCACTATCGCTGATCTCGCCACTCACCTCCGTGCACTAGAGACTAGCTATCGCGCTGCTAGCACTACTGCCCAGCTCACTGCCTTCCCCCCGCCGTTCTACGCTACCCTGTACCTTATTGCCATGCGCCTGCCTGACCGCTTAGCCACTGCCCGCGACCACTTCCTTAGCCAGCACCCTGGTGACCTCACCATTGAGATGGAGACTTGTCAGCGCACTATCGCTCAGTCGAGCGGTGTTTAGGCAGTCCAGACCTTTCAGGGCTGTGCTCCATCCCAATGCACGTACGCTAACGTTTCCGCTGCGGTCGCTACTGCTACTCCTGCCGCTGAGACATCAGCGGCGGCCTTCCCGCAGCAGCAGCGACAGCGTCGGCGTTGTCGCGGCCCCAAGGGAGGGCATGGTGGTGGCGGCGACAGTGGTTCTGACGAGGGGGCTGGGGCAAGCGTCCAGGAGCAGCAGCAGTCGCAGGCAGCAGTAGCAGCCGCTGCAGCAGCCGTGGGCCCGCCTCCCGCCAGGGTGGCCAGGAGCCCCTGGAGGGGGTGGCCGAGGTGGAGGTCCTCGCAGCTTGGCGTCTACCGGCAGCTTCGATGATGTGGGCTGCCAGTACCAGCTCCAGACCGGTCCCATTCGTGACACTGTGTGCTGCCGTTCGCACCCGACCACCCGCTGCTTCTGCCGCCTCGACAACCTCTCTCGTCACCGTTTTGGCCCAGCCCCGGAACTCCCCGACTGGCCCAGTCTGCTGCGCCGCGGTGTGCCTGTTTTTGACCTAGACATGGATCAAATTAGTTCTGCCTTGCATTCTCTGTATGCTGGCGCTTCTAGTGTGTCCGGATCTTATTACCCTGTGTTCTCTAGCTTAGGCGCAGCACCTGTGTGTAGTACAGACTCCCCTGCTGCGTCAGGCGTAGGACCGTTTGCTTTGTCCAGCCTAGGCTCCACACTCTCTCCTCCTTCGTCTGAGCTACTGCTTCGCTGTCCTTCACACTTGATTCCGGCGCGTCTGCCTGCTTCTTCCGCGACCATGCCGCACTCACGCCGCTTGCCGCGCCTGCCGCTGTCGCCCTTGCTGACCCCTCGTCTAGTCCTGTTGTTGCTCGCAGCTACACTACCCTCCCCTGTCTAGCGGTCCCCTCAGGCTCCCTTACAGGCCTCCATGTCCCCTCGTTCTCCCGGAACTTAGATGGTGTCGGCTGTCTTCAGGACCTCGGCGTCACCACTACGTTCCCCGGTGACGAGCGGTACGCCGTCTATACCGAGGCTGCCTCAGGTTCCCCCTTAGCGACGTTCCCCCAGGACTTAGTGTCTGGCCTCTTTACGCTAGACACTGCTTCCCCCCCGGGTGGACCGTCCCTCCCAGGTCCTGCATCTACTCAGATCGCCGCTGCGTGCTCGTGTCGATCGCTCACTCACCCGTCGCTTCTGTGGCACCACCGCATAGGTCACCCCGCACTCCCGCGTCTGCGTCACATGACCCAGCATGGTCTCATCCTAGGTCTCCCTGCGTCGCTTCCTGCCCTCCCTCCCTCTCATCCGCAGTGCACGCCCTGCGTCAAGGGCTGGCTGCATCGTGCTCCTCACTCCTCCTCGCTTCGTCCTGCCACCGCACCCCTTCAGACCCTGCACCTGGACGTCTGGGGCCCAGCCCACGTCCCCGGACCGCGTCGCGAGCGCTACTTTCTAGTGCTTGTCGTTGACTACGCGCGCTACACCAAGGTGTTTCCCTTGGAGCGGAAGGCCGACGTGCCTGACATTCTCATCCTGTGGATTGTGGCTGCCCGCCTTCACCGCAGTCTCCCTGTCTTGAATCTCCACCCAGACTCTAGCGGCGAGTTCGCCTGTGGCTGGCTTGGAGAATTCTGTCATGCGGAGGGCATCACCCAGTTGTACTCCCTACCGGAATCCCCGCAGCAGAATGGGGTCGCTGAGCGACGCATCGGCTCAGTCATGGAGATGACTCGTACCTCCATGATTCATGCCGGTGCACCCCATTTTCTGTGGTCGTTCGCCGTTCGCTACGCCGCTCACCAGCTTAACCTCTGGTCGCGCTCCCAGCGGCCGCAGGTTTTGCCGACCCTCCTTTGGATCGGGTTCCCTAGTGACGCGTCCGCGTTCCACGTCTGGGGCTGCCTCGCTCACATTCATGCCTCAGGCACGTACAAGCTCACTGCCCGCACTGTCCCCTCTGTCATCCTCGGTTTTCCCCTGGACTCCTCTGACTGGCAATTTTATCACCCGCTGTCTCACAGCTTCTTTCACTCCCGTGACGTCACTTTTGACAAGTCTGTCTTTTTTTACCACCGCTTTCCCCACCGAGGTCTCCTGGTTTCCCCTCCCCTGTTTCTGGTCCCCACTCCCTCGGAAGCCCCTGCTCATCTTCCTCCCCGTCCTGCTCCGTTTGGTGGGTCTCACATCACTCCCCTACCGTTGAATGTCCCGGTCGAGGAGTCGGCTGACTCCTATGGCCCAGCGGTGCAGTTCTTGCCGCCCTCTCTCCCCCGGTGTCTCCTCCTCTGCCATCGAAGCCACGGCCGCCGCAGCAGCCGCCGCCGCCACCACTGCCGCCGCCACAGCAGCCGCCCTCACCCCCGCCACAGCCGCCACCGCCGTCGCAGCAGCAGCAGCCGTACGTGGTCTCTGGGGGCTTGTCCCGGCGGGCTCGGGGGTGGCACCGGTGCTGGAGAGGGTTCTCGCTCTAGGGGTGCTTATTCTGGGGGTGCTGGAGTGGAGTGTTCTGGAGGTAGCCGCGATGCAGGTGGCGGTCCGGGTGCCGGTGTCGAACAGCAGCAGCAACGGTCGCCGGTGCCCGCCCTTTGCCTGCTTGGCCTTTCCTCCCCTAACCGCTCGCCTGCGCCTCCCCTGCCGCCTCCTCCCCTTCCTATCCATGGTCTTGTGTTTCCTCCGCCGGACTCGTCCCCGGCTCGTTTCCCATCTTGTTCCCCTCCTATTACTCCTCTATCTCTTGACCCGACGCCTCCGCCACACGTCTGGTCTCGCCATCCTTCTCGTGCTCGTCCTGTCTCCCCTGTTTTAGTGTTCTCACCCTATGTTGCTTCATTCCCACACGTCTCGTCCTCCCCTCATGCCTTCGCCTCCTCCGTCGTCGCTCGTTCTCGCGCCTCCCCCACTGTCTGACTACCTTCGTGCTGCGCGTCCTCTTGTTCCTTGGGTCCTTGCCTCCCTTGTTACTGACTCGTCTGTTCCTGTTTCGCGTCTTGACGCTCTTGTCACTGCTATCCCTGACTTCGCCTCTACGCGCCGCCTTGACTACGCCACCGCTCTGGTCTCTGACTGTCACAGGATCGAATGACTCGAGGAAAGGTTGCACTATCGATCAGTACAAGGCGCTTTTATACTTCCAGAGTACATCAGGTAACCAGGTTTATCGTATCCTAAGGGAATAGACCCTTCTAGAAGATAGAATCACCCTGCGTATAGCCCCGCGAGGCTATTGGCTTTAAGGGATTACGGCAGGATTACGCCAGATATAGAGCCCAGTACATCCCAAGCCTGGTCGGTGATATAACTATTATAGCAGGATAAACCAAAGGTTTATGAAAAAGGGAGAATAGGAAACCAAATGAGATGAGAAATGAAAAGAGGAAGGAAGTAGAAAAAAGGCCAAGTGGTGTAACGGGGTCGTACTCTCACACTTCCCCCCCTCAAAGTTGGGTGGTAGAAGTAACACCCTGCTTGACAAGGTAGTCATGCAGAGGACGACGGGCATTACCCATGTCGGACTCAGGTACCCAGCTGTCCTCAGAAGGATCATAACCCTTCCAACGGATGAGAAGCTCCACGGCGCCATTTCGACGTCGGCGGTGTGCAAGCACGGATTCGACCTCGTACTCGGGTTCATTCTGGATGAGGACGGGCGGCGGCGGTGGCGGTTGGCGTCCGACGAAGATCGTGTTCGGATCCCGGTAGGGCTTTAGAAGCTGGACATGGAAGGCGTTGTGAATCTTCCAGGTAGCTGGTAGGCGTAAGCGGAAGGTAACAGGAGTGACCTGTGCTTCAACGAGAAAAGGCCCGCAGAAGCGAGGTCGAAGTTTAGATGGGAGATGGCTGATGTCCAGGTTGCGGGTTTCAAGAAGCACCTGTTCCCCCACCGTGATGGTGTGGTCGTTGCGATGGCGATCGGCCTGGCGCTTCTGTTGCTGTTGAATGTCGAGGAGGCGCTTGTGGGTCCGATCCCACAGCTGATGCATGGTTGTGATGAAATCACATGCAGGTTGTACTGTAACGGATGCTGTCGGTGTTTGTGGTGTGAGTGGGTGGCGTCCGTAGCAGAGGAAGAACGGTGTCTGTCCCGTAGCGGCATGTGTAGCATTGTTGTAAGCAAACTCTAGTACGGGCAGGTGCAGGTCCCATTTGGAGATCTCGTCCTTGCAGGCTGCTCGGAGGAGTTGCTCAAGAATTTGGTTGAGGCGCTCGGTCTGTCCGTCTGTCTGCGGATGGTAAGCAGATGACATGGCGAGTTTGGTCCCGAGGAGAGACATAAGTTCCTTCCAGAACTTGCTGGTGAACTTAGGGTCTCGGTCGGAGATGAGTGTGGTTGGGATGCCATGCTGTGAGATGATGTAACGAACGAAGAGTTGTGCTGTCTCCTCGGTGCGTGCTGTCGTGTGTGTCGGGATGAAGTGCCCCATCTTGGAGAACTTGTCGATGATGACAAGGATTGCGTCATGACCACTGGTGGTAGGTGGTAACCCGGTGATGAAGTCCAGGCTAACCACTTGCCATGGTTGTTCTGGGACAGGAAGAGGCTGCAGTAGTCCCGCCTTTTTCTGCTTGCTACTCTTCATCCGCTGACATGTATCACACGAGGTGACGAATTTCTGGACGTCTTCTGCTAAGTGGGGCCAGTAGTAGTGTTTGGCGATACCGGTGAGCGTCTTGTTGCTACCGAAGTGTCCGGCGTAGAGGACGTCGTGGTATTCTTCGAGTAGTAACTGGCGCAAAGGAGGGTAATTGGGTACCCAGATTTTCGTTGATCCTTTCCGGTACGCGATGTCACTGTCCCACTATAGCAGATGTCGCTTTTCTGCCAAGGGAATTTTGGGGTCGATGGCGTACCCGTGTGTGAAGAGTCCCTTGAGTAGTGGATTCATCCCTTCAACTTGAATAGCGGCAACGTGTGCAGGCCGGCTGAGAGCGTCTGCTTTGTTTTTGTGGCCGGGCTTGTACACGATGTCGTAGTGGAAGTGTGTCTCGAGGAAGTCGATCCACCGGACCTGCCGCCTGGAAAGGTTGGGTTGTGTCTTCAAGTATTTCAGGCTGCAGTGGTCGGTGTAGACGGTTGTTCTTCGTCCTTCGAGATAACATCTCCACGCTTTGAAGGCGATGACGATGGCAAGGGCCTCTTTGTCGTGTATCGGGTAGTTGAGTTCTGCCCCGTGCAGCTTTTTGCTGAGGTAGGCGATTGGTTGCAGTCCGTTCCCCTGGTCTTGCATCAAGACTGCTCCTACTGCCTGGTCGCTGGCGTCAGCTTCGATTACGTAGTCGCGTTCGGGATCCGGCAAGATGAGTACTGGGGCGGTCGTGAGTGCTTGTTTCAGCTGCTCCACGGCTTCCTGGTGTTTTGATTCCCATTTGTAGGGCGTATTCTTCTTCAGCAGATTCATGAGTGGTGCTGCGAGTTTCGCATACTGTGGCACGAACCTGTTGTAATAATTCGCGAAGCCTAGGAACTGCTGCAACTCCTTCACGCTCTCGGGTGTCTTCCACGTACGTACGGCTTCGATTTTCTTGGGGTCGACGTGGACTCCTTGAGCGCTCACCATGTGTTCTAGGAACTGGACCTTCTTGAGGGCGAATTCGCTCTTGGACTGTTTGACGTAGAATCGTTCTCGTCGCAGAATTTCGAAGACGCGTCGCAGGTGTTCGACATGCTGTTTCATGTCGCACGAGTAGATGAGGATGTCGTCCAGGTACACCACCACGCACTCGTCCAAAAGTGGTCGTAGAATGTGGTTCATTTCGGCTTGGAATGTTGCCGGTGCGTTGGTGAGTCCGAATGGCATTACCAAATACTCGTACGATCCATACCGAGTTCGAAAAGCAGTTTTGTGGATAGAGTTGTCCGCCATTCGTATCTGCCAATATCCGGACCGCAGATCCAGTTTGGAAAATACTGTAGCTCCCCGAAGCTGGTCAAGCAGGTCATCGATTCGCGGTAACGGATATTTATTCTTGATGGTCTGCTTGTTAAGAGCTCGGTAGTCGATGCACATGCGCAGGCTTCCGTCCGGTTTCGGTGTGAAGAGTACTGGGGCATCGTATGGTGAAGTGGATGGTCGGATGAGTCCTTTAGCTAGGAGATACTCGATTTGTTTTTTCATGTCAGCCAGCTCCGTAGGGCTGAGCCGGTATGGTGCTCAGAAGGTCGGCTTCGAACCCGGTTCCTCCACGATCTCGTGTTGATGCGTTCGGTAGGGCGGTAGCTCGTTCGGAAGATCGTCAGGAAGAATGTCTTGGAACTCCTTCAGTAAGTCCTTGATTTTTTCTGGAGGTTCCGAGGCTTTCTCTCCGTCATTCTCCACCTCTGTTGCTATCGCCAGGAACCCGGTGTCGGTTCGCTTCACGTCCTTCTCGAATCGTGCGAGTGTCTCCACTGGGATATCTCCTGTATCGTCCCAGTTGGGTAGCTGTACTCTCCGTCCATTGTTGTAGATACTTGCGGTGCGATTCACACAGTTAATCTCGGGGTTGAATCTTTTTAGGAAGTCTCGCCCAAAGATCAAGTCAAGCCCTTTGATGTTGGTGATGGGGAGTGCAGGTCTCCAGCGCAGTGGTCCGATTTGTAGGTGTAGCACTGCTTCGCCGTGTACTGGTAATTTGCTGCCGTCCACCATCGTTGCAGAGAATCCTGAAGGCTTGTACTCTTCCCGAATTCGGTCGATTACTGCCTTGTCGCAGACGGTGTGTGATGCTCCGCTGTCCACGAGTGCTTGGAGGCATCGTCCTTTGCAGATGACCTCGAGCACGAGGGGCAGGCGTTGCTCGGAGTACCCAAAAATGGTTTCATTGATTGGGTCATAGGGTACATCCCAATATTCTGTACACACCTTTGTGTTGCTATCTACTCTTTTCTTTTTCGCCAGCTAGATCCGCAATCACTGGCGAGTCCCGTTTTTTGGCTTTTGATTGGCCGAAGGATTTCCGCCACTGTTGCGTGCCCGATACTCAGCGCGTGCGGTTTTCATTTTGTTGCAGTCGAAAATTCGATGACCCGGCACCCCGCAAAAATCACACGTGTAGTTGGTGTTTTTTGGACGTGGCCGTCCCTCGAATCTGTTGACTTCCATCGGGTCGGCGAATGTGGGGTGAGCCGAGCGGTCGCCCTGTCGCGTACTGCCGACGTGCGTCCGTCGTGTCCCGGCGTTGACCATGTCGAAGCGCTCCGCGGCCGATACGACGTCACTGTAGCTCGCGTAGTTTGACGCTGCCACTTGTCGTTTGACTTCAGTCTTCAGCTCGGCGAGGTACGACTGTACTTTTTCCCCTTCGGTCAGGTCGGGAATGTGGTTATAAAATTCCTCCATCTGCTGCGTGTACTGTGCTACACTCCCGAACTGTCGGTGTCGATGAATTTTTTCCCGGGCAAGGAAACTCGAATTTATCGGCTCGAATCGTTTTAGCAGGTCGGCGCGGAACTGCTGCCACGTGGCTTCACCGTGGATGAAGGTACTGTTGCCGCCAATCCACTCGAGTGCCGGCCCTCGCTTCAGTGTCGCCACGAGTCGTACACGTTGTCCGTCCCAGACTGGCGAGCTCCATCCGACGGCTGCGAAGTAGATCTCCATCCCGACGATCCATCTGCGGGCGTCGGAGTTTCGATCGCTCGAATCGAACGGCTCAGGTGGGCGCGGTTTCGGAGCCTCGAGAAACTGCTGCGACTGCTGCGTTGTCGCCGTTGTCATTTCGTGCTGCGCTCCGGCGAGTCGAGTTACTCGCTCGAACTCGTTTCGCCACGCTTCGCGATCCGCTCGCATTTCCTCCTGAAGGGCTGCGATGCGCGCGAAGAGCTGCTGGGTAACCTCGGCGTTGTCGAAGGTTGCCATCCTGTTCAAAACACGCACGGAGGGGGTAATTCGAAAATCGCGGAGCTGGTGCTTACCAGAATCAGCGTCGAATTGGTCGCCCCCGGCTGTTTTTCGAGGCAGGATCCCCCGCTGCTGCTGCTTAGTTGAGCGCGGCCGAGTGAGAAAAGCTCTGATTACCAAGTGTCACAGGATCGAATGACTCGAGGAATGGTTGCACTATCGATCAGTACAAGGCGCTTTTATACTTCCAGAGTACATCAGGTAACCAGGTTTATCTTATCCTAAGGGAATAGACCCTTCTAGAAGATAGAATCACCCTGCGTTTAGCCACGCAAGGCTATTGGCTTTAAGGGATTACGGCAGGATTACGCCAGATATAGCGCCCAGTACATCCCAAGCCTGGTCGGTGATATAACTATAATAGCAGGATAAACCAAAGGTTAATGAAAAAGGGAGAATAGGAAACCAAATGAGATGAGAAATGAAAAGAGGAAGGAAGTAGAAAAAAGGCCAAGTGGTGTAACGGGGTCGTACTCTCACACTGACCTTGTCCGTCCTCCGTCCGTCAGCGGTGCTCCTATCCCTGGCAGTGACGTCCTAGAGGACAGGCAGTACGAGCTTGCTTTCCTGTCCGAGGCTGCTCCCCATCTCTGTTCCATGCTGCTAGTTCCTGAGGGAGACCCATACGCCTTTGACATCCCGACCCCTCGCACTTCCGCTGAGGCGACCTCAGGACCCTGGGCCTCTCAGTGGATAGCTGCCATGGAGCAGGAGATGGCATCTTGGAGATCCAGTGGCACCTTTGTCGACGCAGTTCCTCAACCTGAGATGAACGTAGTCGATGGCCGGTGGCTCTTCAAGGTGAAGCGCCCCCCTGGAGAGCCGCCTGTGTTCAATGTGTGTTATGTGCCTAGAGGCTTCAGTCAGCGAGAGGTTATGGACTTCTTCTAGACCTTCGCCCTGACCCCGAAGATGACTACTCTTCGGGCGCTGCTACACGTAGCAGCACAGCGTGACTACGAGCTCCACTCCCTCGACTTCTCCACTGCTTTTCTTCAGGGCAGCCTACACGAGCAGGTCTACCTACGCCGATCGCAAGGCTTCACAAGTACCTTCCCTATTGGGACCCAGTGGCTCCTCCGACGCCCGGTCTACGGCCTACGACAGGCGCCCCATGAGTGTCACGATACGCTGTGTGCTACGCTACCTGACCTTCAGTTCTTTTCGTCCTCTGCAGACCCTTCGCTCTTCATTCGTGCTGACCAGACTCCGTTCGACATCCTTGTCTACGTAGACGACCTGGTCTTTGCTACTGCAGATAGCGACGCATTGGCCTCTGTGAAGGCAGGGCTACTGAGGAGACACACATGCACTAACCCAGGAGAGTTGCGCATCTACCTTGGCCTGCAGATCTCTAGGGACAGAGCAGCGCGCACCATCACTCTCACACAATCATACTTGGTGCGCCAGGTCCTTCCGAGGTTCGGTCTTGAGTTCTCCTACGCACAGCCCACACCTTTGCCAGTAGATCACAGGCTCTCAGCTCCGGTCCCAGAGAAGTCAGTAGAGCCCAGTGGTCCTTACACAGAGCTGGTGGGTTGCCTCATGTACCTGATAACTTGCACTCGTCTAGTTCTGGCATACCCTCTCAGCATCATGGCTCGCTTTGTGGCCACAGGCAGACACCGACCACAGCACTGGTCGGCCGCTAAGAGGGTTTTGCGTTATCTAGAAAGTACATCGGGCATGGGGTTAGTGCTTGGAGGATGCAGGCCAGTGGTCCTTACTAGGCACACTGACGCTTCTTGGGCACACGATATTGAGACACTCCGGTCCTCCCAGGGCTACTGCTTTAGCTATGGTTCAGGGGCCATCTCGTGGAGGTCCACTCGCTCCTCGTCAGTTGCCCAGTCTAGCTGTGAGGTTGAGATCTACGCTGGTGCCATGGCAGCACAGGAGCTCCGTTGGCTGACCTTCTTGCTTGCCGACTTAGGTGAGTGGCCAAGCTCTGCCCCGATTCTGTACGCTGACAACAGGGCCATGATCCTCCTGTGTCAGGAGCCTCGACTTGAGGGCAGAGCGAAGCACATCCAATTACGGTACTTCCTCCTGCGCGAGCTACAGCAGCGTTGCCAAGCCCGCGTAGTACACTTGGCCTCTGGTGCCAACACAGCTGATATCTTCACTAAGGCGCTTGTGCCTAGAGATCATCAGCGGCAGTGTTTGCAGCTTGGTCTTGTTCTTGTAGACTCTCACATGCTAGGACCTTGATTGTGTACTCCTCCATATTTATACCTTCCAGACTGGCCTTGTGGCTTCTCTTCCAGTGGTCGGACTAGTAGTGCCGCCCTGGTTTTTCTTGCCTTGTTTGTACTCTTGTTGATTGGTCTTCGGACCCCTGCCTCAGAGGTTGGACTAGTAGTGCCACCCTAAGCTGCGTGTGTCTTGTTCAGCACTACCCCTTATCTAGCCTAGGGGGTGTGTCAACTTATACATATGTTAGTATGTAGAAGTTATAGGCTAGATAGGTGTTTGTGTTAAATTATATATGTTAGTATATAATTGTAGGCTTGGTAGGCGTTACTGAAACTTCCTTTAGAGGGTACGGCACCACTCCTTGTATCCCTCTCTCTTCTATTCTTCTTTCTCTTTTCTCTCGTAACTTTCTCCTAGCTAAACTCTCTTGCCATTCCATGGCTACCTACCGTTCCTAGCTACCTAGCTTTCGTGACATGGTAACAGATCAGGTTGCCGACGTTTGCGCTATGCACTCCTCCTCTCCCTTTCATGCTGCCATGGCGGCCGCGTCGTGCCGCCTCGGCCGTCTCGACACGCTGCCGTGGCGTCGCGTGTCGTCGTGGCGTCGACGTCCAGCCATGGCGACGTGACGGCGTCGTCGACCTGCCGTCGCCGCGGCATAGACGCCGCGCTGTGGCGGCATCATAAGGA